ATATATATATGAAATTATGTGAGATTACATAGCAAAATGTGGTCAAAATTGTAGGTACAGAAAAATACTTAAATGAAAAATAGCTAAATAAATCAATGAAAGATCCCTTCAATAAACTGACTGCTTGGCTGGAGAAGTGGGCACAATTTATAGAAACCAAGCAGAGTATGGAAGTGTGGTCTAGATCCAAGTGAGTAAAGGTCATAGGAAGGAGGGATGGATGTGAGTTGAAGCAGTCATAGAAGAGCCCTAGCCATTGAAGCTCAGTTCAGAAAGATTAGTGTATTGATAATAACATCTAACAGTTGCCTTTGAGTTGATTCTGACTCACGATGATTCCATGTATATCAGAATACAACTATGCTCCACAAGGTTTCAATGGTTAGGTTTTCCCCCCAGAAATAGATTGTCAGGCCTATCTTCTGAGGTGCCTTTGAGTGGACTTGAACCTCCAACTCTTTGGTTTGCAACAAAGTACATTAACTCTCTGCACAACTCAAGGAGTCTATTACTAATAGTAACCCCCCCCCCCCCAATGTTATAGACACTGGAGCACATTTACGCATATTTGTTGTTTGGATCATATCAAAATCTTTGTAAGCAAGGTAAAGCAAGATGTACTGCCCACAGTGAAGAGATAAAAATACTGATAGCTCAGGAAAATGTAAGGAACTTTACAAAGTCACATTATGAGCATAAATTCCCTAGACTATAAGCCCAGAGCTCTAATACCCACATCTACAAGGAGGGGTAGGAGGCAGTGGAGTCTAAGCACAGAAGAATGTCTATAAGAAGGAAAAACACCAAGCTCTTATTTGTAGAATTGCTTACTTTGGAACAAATACTGTGTTGATTGTTTTATTTGCACTATTTTGGTCAGTTTTAACAGTGAGAAATATTATTTTATTCCTTTTACAGATTTTACTTATCAGTTGTGCCACCACCTTTAGCAAATTACTAAACCTTTCTGAGACCTAGTCTTCTTATCTATAGAACAAAACCTACTTTACCCAGCTTTTATTATAATCTTTAAATGAGTTAATGTGTGTGCAGTGTAACATAGACATTATTGCTGTTGGTGTTTTTATTGTCATTGTTGTTATGTGCCATTGAGTCGGTCCCAACTCATAGCGATCCCTCCTTGGGTTTCCGAGGCAGTATCACTATGGAAGTAGATTGCCCAAGCTTCCTTCCAAGGAGTGGCTGGTGGGTTTGAACCTTTACTCACTCGGTGGGTTAGCAGTCAAGTGAGTAAAGGTCATAGGACCTTAGGCACTATACTACCAGAGCTCCTATTCTTTTGTTATACTATGCAGTAAGTAATACAGCAGGAATTAAAACTCAGTTGTGGTTGATTCCAAAACCCTTGCTCTTAATAAGTATATTAACCTGACCCTTTAAAATAGTACATACTTTATAACCCTGCTTATTACTATGACCTGATAATTTTGATGTTGAGGGGCTTGGTCTAGATACTTTGACTACTACCAGCTGTACAAGTCCTATGGTGACCTGGTGCTGCTTAAGAACTACAAGGAGTGGAGGATGGGCTATGGTGATGGTAGTGGCAACACTGTGTATAAGAACTTCATGTACTTTAATTACTATGGCCCAAGGGACATGGTCAAGGTCAACCTTTCCTCCAACACTTTTGTGCTGTGGCGCTGCTTGCTTGGTGCCTCTTATAACAACCGCTTCTCCTATGCTGCCATGCCCTGGAAAGCCATAGATTTTGCTGGAGATGAGAAAGGGCTGTGGGTACTCTATGCCACTGAGGAGAGTAAGGGCAATCTGGTTGTGAGTCGTCTCAATGCCAGCACCCTAGATGTGGAGAAAAAGTGGCACACCAGCCAGTACAAGCCAGCTCTGTCAGGAGCCTTCATGGCCTGTGGTGTACTCTATGCCTTACGCTCATTAAGCACCCATCAAGAGGAGATCTTCTATGCTTTCGATACTACCACTGGGCAAGAGCGTCACCTCAGCATCCTCCTGGATAAGATGCTGGAAACACTGCAGGACATCAATTACTGCCCCTTGGACCACAAAATCTATCCGTACAATGATGGGTTCCTGATCAATTATGACCTCACCTTCCTGACATTAAAGCACAGGCTATCGAGACCATTAGCCCAAAGGCCTTCTGGGATTCATGCCCCGCCCAAACCTGTCAAACCCAAAAAACCCTTCAGGCCCTGAAGCTCCAGGGCTGGGCAGGTCTTTGGTAGAAGTGTGTTCCCCTGCCCACTTCCTGGTGGAGCACTCCCCTAGATGGCTATCAGCCTTAATGATTGGGTGACACTGATTAGTTCTTTATGTAATTAATACCTCAGTATATTAAGGGTCCCTTTAATAATGGTCTGGGTGGATTTGATTGGGAAACAAACAAATAAAAAGTTAGCCTATGATATGTGACCCTCTTTGGTGTTTTGAGATCTCATGTTCTATGTTTTGAAACTGAATTCAGGCATTCGTTTTATATATTTGAAAACTGGACAACTATGACGTTGTGACCCAAATTGGTAAGAATTGTTGCAGTCTGGCAGCAGCTGGTTGGAATACAGAAAATACAGGGGAGGTGGTCATTAGAGTGGGATATGGAATTTCCCTCTTCTACCCCTTCCCACCCATGGGGTCCATAAGAAAAAAGGGAACAGGGTCTTAGTCTGAAAATCATTATTCCCCTGTCCCGGTTCAATCTCATATTTAAGTGCAATCGAGAGAGATACCTAGACCTGAGTGTCACTGTAGGAAGTTAGCAACTGGTCAGTGAGCCTGAGGAGAGTCTAACATGGATTGAGCTGGGTGCCAAGACATTTGTAATGAAGAATCCTTTGGTATGATAACAGTTAATCTCTTTGCCAATTGTCTGTTCTCTTCGCTTATCTTCAACACACTGAGAATATAGGATCCTATACTCTTTGCTTGTCACTTATCTGTCTGCATGGCACACCTTCCCACAAGGCAAGTGGATGGAATGTTTGAGCATTCAGATCCTGAAGTCCTCATAGTCATACAGGGGACACCAGAGTATCTAATGTACATTTTTCTCATGAACGCACTTCCAAATACACACATATTCACAATACATGTTCAACCAGATATACGCATTCTCACTCCTATATATCCACTATTCTCACTTGTACCCAAACACCAACAGACATATATACATTTTAATATATTTACTTGTAGAAAAATCATTAGCTTACCAAATAAAATTATACACCATCCTTCAAATTTACATGAGATTGGATCTGGCTTTTTAAGAGCCTAACCCTGTCTTCTTTGGAATCTCAACTAGTAATCACATCTACCTCTACCTCATTTGATTACAGCTGCCTCCTCTTTCAGTGTTTTACCCCAAGGGCGGACATTAAAGACAGGTTAGAACACTGAAACAAATCATTTTAAAATTTCTACCATCCTATAGGAAGGAGCTCTGGTACCATAGTGCCTAAGGCACTTGACTGCTAACCAGAAGGCTGGTGGTTCAAACCCACCACCCACTCCTCAGAAGGAAGGTTGGACAATCTACTTCTGTAGTGTCTTCCTTGCTTTCTCAAACCCAGATTGCTCAAGTTTGAAAGTGAAAGAACTACCTGGTAGGCCCTCAGAAACCCAAGGAGGGGTTACTATGAGTCGGGGTCTACTTGACAGCACACAACAACAACAACAACACAAATCATGTAGGAAAGTCTGAGTCATACATCAATGAAAAATATTTTGTAAGGAATGATTCAGTCACTTAGTTTGGAATGCCTTTGGAGGTAAACTCCCTGGTAAACCCTACTCCTGCTTCCTAGGACAGAGGATATTTCCCCTCCCTCCCCCCCACCACCGCATGAGCATACTCTCAATTAAGTCTGAATCCCAAAATCTTGACCCTAGACAAAAACATGATCTCTCTTCCACTTAAGACCTTTGTTCCTTTTCCATTTTCCTTTCTGAAGACCTACCTTTTCCAGATCATTAACAGCATTAATGTCCCAGTCCTATGGAAGAGACATCATTCTTACCAAAAGGTATATGGCTTTATTTATGGCTTTAATAAACCCAAAATTTCTCATAACAATGTTGACATTACTCTAAGAAACCCACACACAGCATCCCATGAAACCATACACCCCATAAAAACTCTGGTCTTTCACTTTTTTTTTTTTTTACTAGTCCAATTCTAAGAACTTTGTCACCACTTGTCTTTCAAAGTATCTCATTTTATTCCATTAAAGAGGTCTAGATTCCTGAAAACATTCTCCTTCCTCAGGGAGCCCTGCTTTGGCAGGGACTATGAGGCTAGAGTTGACATCACAATATCTCTTTTCTGAGGAGATTATGCCCTTAATGGGTGGGGCGGGGGAGAGGCAGCCTTGGGAGGAGTCATCACTACTTAGCTCATCCTGTATCAAGTATGAATCAGTAGCCAAGACAGGTCTCAGCTGGGCCACATCTGGAGAGCTGGGGTGGGGGTACAACACCACAAAACATCTGGCCTCAGCCCAGTCACCATTCACTTACGAGCAACAAGGAAACAAACCAGTGGCTGAGCAAACAACACCTGAGACAAAGGCCAGTAAAAATATTTTTCTGCCCTCACCCTCTCTGCCCTAGCATCTGCCTGCTTCCCATCTGCCCACCTGCTAAGGTAGATGCCTCATGTTACCACCCGAACACTCAGGATGCCCCAGGGTGGGCATCCCACAAATCTGCCTGCAGACAAGTGTGTCTCTTCAAGTGTCACTCAAGTAATAGTGAAGACAGCAGGCAAGCAGCAATCGTTTATGGTAGCAGATGACATCTCAGTGAAGCAGTTCAAGGAGAAGCTATCAGCTCATTTCAAATGCCAAATGGACCAGTTAGTGCTGGTCTTCATGGGTTGCCTCCTCAGAGACCATGACACACTGAACCAGAGGGGCATCCTAGATGGCCACACCATCCACCTAGTCATCAGATCCAAGCATAGGTCCCAACCCCTAACCCATTCCTCCCGGAACATGCCAACCAGTGAGCACTGCGACAGGGATGGGAACACCCAAGTAAAGAGCAGTGGGGTTCATCAGGCTGCTAGCATAAGTCAGACCCCGGTGGAATCACCATTCTTTGTGGAGCCTGAGATGCCTGAGGTGAATACCCAGAATGTGGAAGCAGGCAGTCCTGGGCACGTGGCACCAATGCTCGATGATCCTAGCATCCAGCGGCTTCTGTCCAACACGGATCTCATGAGACAGTTCATTTCAGAACATCCAGAGATACAACAACTGATGCAGCAGAACCCAGAGGTCTCACACATCTTTGACAATTATGATATACTATGGCAGACTCTGGAGCTGGCCAGAAACCTTGCCATAATCCAAGAGATAATGCAGATCCAACAACCTGCACAGAATCTTGAGCATCCACAGAATCAACAGCCATATCTGGGCTTAGAGACAACTCCAGGTGTGGACAATGCCTTGGGTCAAAGCTGTGCTGATTTCAATGACCAAACGCCCAACAACTTGCAAGATATCTCTGGGGGAAACCTTTTTACAGCTCTTCTGTCAGGACAAGAGCCAGAACAAGTCCAGTCTTCACCCTCACCACCACCACCACCACCACCACCATTCCAGGAACAGCAGGACCAACTCCCACAATTCCCTACAACCCGAGTCATTTACAGCAGTTCATGTGGTTTATCTTCAGCCAATGCTACCTCCAGCAGGGTGAACAATACTACCAGGGTCAGTGCTGCTACCATCTCTACCAAGAACCAAAGTCATATGTGTGCCATTCAGCAGCCAATTGGGGTGCCAGCGCTACCCAGCATAGAGCCCACCCAGAAGCACCAGGCAGAAGGTAAGGATGACATCTATCTCAGTGACTCTGACCAGAGACTGGAGGATGATCTAAAGCTGTTGGATGAGCAGACCAGCTCTCAGATTACCAGAAGCATGATGCAGCTACTTATAAACAACCCCTGCCTGGCAGCCCAAATGATGTTGTTCATGAGTATGCCCCTGCTGAGTGAACAATGGAGGCAACAGATGCCCACATTCCTGCTGCAGACACAGTTTTCTGACTTGCTGGTATCCCTTGCCAACCCTAAAGCATCACAGGCAATACTGCAGATTGAGCAGGGTCTCCAGCTTTTGGCCACAGAGGCTCCTGTTCTTCTGCCCTGGGTTGCACCCTACCTATGGGGCATGGGTTGGCTTCCTGCCCCCAGCTGTAGATATCCTGACATGGCTCCCTGGACTTTGGATGCGCCAGACATGGCTGATCCCCAAGGGCCTGAGGGTTGCCACAAGTCTGGAGCAGTCCTGCAGAGGCTACAGTCCCTAGCTAAAGACCCCTCTCACTCTCTATAAGCCCCTGAGATTCACTTCAGCAAGCAGATGGAATCTCTCTATGCCATGGGCTTTGGGGACCATCATGCCAATCTGCAAGCACTCATTGCCACTGAGGGAGGTAACAGTGCTGCTATCCACAAACTCAAGAAATCACAGGAATTCTAATCATGCCTACCTACTTGCATGTTAACTGGCTGCTGATCCATTTGACTGCCTCATCTGCCTTTTCCACCTCTTGTGATGCCTGCAGCCAGGAGCAGCCCGGGACAGGAGAAACCAACAAATGCTTTCCCAATTGAATAACAAATCATTGACCATGGCTTGAAGACCTGTCAATAAAATGGCTACACCTACTTCATCTGAGGTTTGGTTTTCTTTCCTTCACCATTGAATAACTAGCTGTGTGTGATACCGTTGTTTCACTTACCACACATACAGGAACACACACATCATATGTATATGTATACACTTATCAGTATACAGTTAAAAGGGATCATAGTTGCATCATAGTTCAACTATAGTTGAACCATATATACATTGTAAGACTATGTATACATATGTAAGAATGTGCATGCTTAGCTCCAGACAGCTGTGCAAAATGCACAAGCTCACATAGACACAGATACATATATATGACCACATAAAGCCAACACATAAAGCCATGTATATACAGAGATACATAGAAAAGCATAGCAATACATCAATAGATTGACATATAGGAAAAGATAGCTGTAATGTACTCAGATAAAAGGGAAGAATAGGTTATGCAGATAAGCCATAAAGACTGTCTTCCTTGCTTTCTCAAACCCATTGCTCAAGTTTGAGTGTGAAAGAACTGCCTGGTAGGCCAGAGTAGGAGGAATCCACCTATCAGTCAGGTACTGATGATTATTTATCCTCATAGAAGAAGCCTCTTGCTAATTATCACTGTCAAAATCATACAACTTATTACTCTTAATACTCTGCTTAACAGCCTATTTTATTTTCAAATTTGTATTTATTTTTTCCCAGTAAATAACTATTCCATTTATTGAGTTCTTCTAGTGTACAATAATGATGATGAAGGTAACTCACCAGCCACTCCATGGAAGGAAGACTGGGCAATCTACTTCCATAAAGATTTACTGTCTCACAAACCCACTGGGGGTTGCTGTGAGTGGGAATTGACTCGGTGGCGGTGAGTTTGGTTTTGGTTTGGAATGTTAAAAAAAAAAAGAAAATCTATCGGCAAATCCATTTAATAACTTGAAAATATATATAGAACTCATCATATACAGAATCAGAGAGAATATATGGACACAACTTCCTTGGAAAAAGAGCCCTGACTGGGCTCAGTTCACTGAATTTGGGACGGAGTGGAGAAAAGGGACTGAAGGGCCTCTCCTAACATCTGCCTCAAGCTGAGTCTCCACATACCAGATACCAGGTTATGTGGAAGCAGGACTTTTGGTCTTGGCTGGTCCCTCTAAAGAAAACAAATGACAATAAAAGATAAGAGAGTTAAAGATGGGGGAGAAGGCATTTCCAGGGACCCAGAGAACCTTAGAAGAGTCTGAAGAGTTCATTGCATGAGGTTGTGATGTCAATACTGAGGTCACAGAGGTGACCTGATGGAGTGGGTTCTGCCCAGAAGGTCTCAGGGGTGGCTGTGTAGCAAGATGACGGTGGTTTGGAGCCCTGCATAAGAGGAAGGACGGGGTCACAGCTGATTGGTGTGTATTCCCCAAACTGGGCCCTTCTTGTTGAATTTGCCTCATCACTTATGAATTACATATATTTTCCCCAGTATCTCATATTTCCCTCCCTTGACCCCAACATCTCTCAAATCTATAATCTCACATAAGCATCCTGTCCTAGGGACCTCACAGCCCCTTCCAGACCCTATAGCTACTCCCAGCCCAAGACCCCAGACCCTCTTTCTCACCTTTTGTATTTTTGCCATTACCCAAAAGGATGATCTTGGTCTCATTTCCATCCCTCCAGCTGTGTCCCCACAAACCTGGGCCTCCTGCTACCCACCATGGCCAAAAGTGGAGAGGCCTTGCCACAGGGCAGCCCAGTGCCAGTCCAGGATCCTCACCTCATCAAGGTGACAGTGAAGACACCCAAGGACAAGGAGGATTTTTCAGTTACAGACACATGCACCATTCAGCAGCTGAAAGAAGAGATATCCCAACGCTTTAAGGCCCACCCCGATCAACTGGTCCTAATCTTTGCTGGCAAGATCCTCAAGGACCCTGACTCACTAGCACAGTGTGGAGTACGGGATGGCCTCACTGTCCACCTGGTCATTAAGATGCAACGGCGCATCATGAATACTGAGTGTCCAGCTGCTTCAGTCCCTTCCACAGCCCAAAGGCCTGGATCACTCCTCCAGCCAACCTCTATTTTCCCATCAGATGGGCCTCCCACTTTCAGCTTAGGGGTCCTCACAGGACTCAATGGACTGGGCCTGACCTCTGATAGCTTCCCTGACCAACCAAGCTCACTGATGTGGCAGCATGTATCTGTGCCTGAGTTTGTGGCTCAGATCATTGATGACCCTTTCATCCAGGGTCTGCTGTCCAACATGAGCCTAGTACACCAACTGGTTCTTGACAACCCCCACATGCAGCAGTTGATCCAGCATAACCCTGAGATTGGGCATATTCTCAACAACCCTGAAATCATGCGTCAGACGCTGGAGTTCCTACGCAACCCTGCCATGATGCAAGAGATGATGCGCAGCCAGGACCGGGCGCTCAGTAACCTGGAAAGCATCCCTGGTGGCTATAACGTGCTTCGTACTATGTACACAGATATTATGGACCCAATGTTTAATGCAGTCCAGGAGCAGTTTGGTGGCAATCCTTTTGCTACTGCCACTACTGCTGATACCAATACCAGCAGCAGCCAACCTTCAAGGACGGAGAATTGTGACCCTCTCCCCAATCCCTGGGCTTCAACATATGAAGGCTCAGGTGGCAGACGAGGAAGGCATATTGGAGACCAGGTTGTATCTGAAAGTAGAAATGGCATCCCCAACATTCTGGGTAATTTAGGGCTCTATGACTACCTCCAGCAATTACCTGGGACTTCCCTGTCCCTTGGAACCTATCTGCAGAGAAATGCATCCTCCCTCAGCCTAAACCAGGAACAACGTCCATCAGGAAACAGAGTTCCCTCAACTTCATCCTCATCCCAGGAACCTGGATCAGATCAGCCTCTATCCAAAGAGTCAGTGACTATCAAGGGAAAGTCCTCCTGCCCAACATTCCTGAGATATCCCACAGAGAGCAGCACTGGGCAAAGTGGAGGTCAAGATGCAGCAGGGGAGGACTCCAATGACCATAGCACCAATATGCCTGATCTTGTCTCAGGGCTGGTGGATTATGCCAAAAGGTCCCCATTAGTTCCTTCCCCACCTTCTCCCATGACAGCCACCTCTGGAGTCCCTGAGCCTGGCTGGCGGCCACCACCAACTTATTCAAGATCTCTGAGGCCAGCTGACCTCAATCAGAGTTCCCAGGTGCAGGATGAGACGCAAAGGCAATTGCCACTACTGCTGCACCTTCAGGCAGCCATGGCAAACCCCCGGGCCATGAACGCCCTCCTTCAGGTTGAACATGGTTTGCAGATCCTGGCAACCGAAGCTCCAGGCCTCCTCCTTTGGTTCATGCCTTGCTTAGCAGGGCTGGGGAGTATAGCAAGAGGTACACAGCCTAAAGAAGATACCCTTATGACCGAGGATCCTTCTCCAGCTCCAGCTCCTGAGGTTCCCCAAGCACGGGGTTCTACTGAGCAGGGGCTCCATTCAGATTCCTTTCTCCAGATGTTACAAGCCTTAGCTAATACTAATACCCAGCAGCTGCAGCTTGAGGCTCACTTTCGGGTGCAGCTGGAGCAACTGCGGGCGATGGGCTTTCTGAATCCGGAAGCCAATCTCCAGGCCCTCATTGCCACGGGAGGCAACTTGGATGCTGCTGTGGAAAGGCTGAGGCAGTTGTAGGAGCCTACAGCTTTTTCTCTGTGCCTTCCCCCTATATCCCACTACCTCAGTTCCACCATTCTTGAATGCAGCTGCTCTATGAACAAAATTTACTATGATGACCTTTACTCCAAACATTGCTGTTCCAGAGTCAATGAGGAAGAATGAGAGCCAGAACGAGGGTGGGGGCCTTGTGTGTGATTCAACCACTCCCGCCACTGCATCACCTTGGGAGCCCAGTCTGAGCTCTGTTTGTGGATATCATGAGATGCAATTACATCCAATCTTCAGTATCAGCTGCTGCCTGAGTATGATTCTTCATGGGCTGTGGGAGGAGGGGAGAAAGTAGGAGAGGAGGTGGTGATAAGGGTTGTTTCTGCATACAAGGGAAGACTTAGGGGGGACCTAAAAGGTTTGAAATTAGAAGAGTCAGCTGCATGGAAAACAGATAAGGGATGTTGAGATCTTTGCTGCAACCCTTCCAAGGCAAGCCTGCAGATTTCCTGGGGTCTTCCTAGAAATCCCCTAGATTTTATGTCCTATAATAGCTGCCACCATCTATTCTTTGGCATTCCTTCTCATCAGTCTGACTGCAGAGTGAAAACAGCTATTCATTTATTTGTTATTGCTCCTGCAGACAACCCCACTTAAGGATTAGAGGTTGATTTCTGAGTGGGTAGCTATAGAGTAGCAAGGATTCAGACTAGGTGCCAAGTTTCCCTAACCTCGCTGAGTTTACAAAGGTAAACTCATAGCCAGTTTACAGGGCCAATTTCACTGCCATGAACTCTATTTGTCCTGGAGTTTGTCTTTCTTGTAACTCTTAGCTCATTCATTTATTCATTCAATGGAAATTGAGGTATTAGAATTCAACCTCAGCAAAGGAAAAATGACCCTGTTATGATCTGGTATCAGGAAATTTTATTCTTCAAATATTTATTATACATGACTGTAAACTCCGCTAAGTGCTATAAAGAAAATGACATGGAGCTATGGAATAGAGTAAAAAGGGCTTGATACACTCTGGGGGCTCAGGGATGGCTTCTAGGGGTGAAGGCACTCCAAGCCGAGATGTGAAAAGTGGAAAGAAGTAGACAAAGTATCTGAGGGAAGAGGGAAGAAAATTGTGGAAGAAGGACCATTATACACAGAAGAGCTGAGGTAAAAGGTGCATAGTACATGGGAAGTGCCCTTGGCATTTCCAACTAAATTCCTGTTTGTGCTCAGAGACCTCCTTTCCCATGCTACTTCTAAGATAAAAGTATTACAATTCATAAATCAAGCAAGTGAACCATGATTTCTAGGACAAGAAACTGCCCATAGGCTCACTGATAAACACATCAATTTCAGAGAAATACACAAACGCAATGCATATTCACACTTAAGTACACTTTCATGTGACCACATGCTCAATTAGGCACACAAGTACATACATACATACATATATATATATACTTTATGCACATGTGCACAAGCACACACACAAAGCATAGTCTTTGAAATTAGAGTTTTATCAGATTAGAATGTAAACAAGAAGGATTAAAGTGCCATGACCTGTGTTTAAATGTCAGAGATCAGGTGTTGTGGATCCTTTCAGGGACTGGAAAAAATAGAACCTCTGCCTGGAGCCCAGGCTTCTTGGACCAGCTTGTCTTTGCCCTTTAGCTGCTCTTCATGGAGATGAAAGAGATGACACAAGGTTTTGGGGAGAAATCTCCTCCACAGTTTTATGTTTCAACCTCTAGATGTGGGACAATTTCTGACCCTTCCCCAAGTCCTACCACTCATCAGGAGTGGGGGTTCTAGTCTGGATAAAAGACTCCATTGTTTGTGGTGATGCTAGGGGACAGAAAGAGGTAACTCTTTCCTCTAGGTTTCTTGCAATTAATAAGAAAGCAAAGTGCTCAGGTATTGCCTCTGATTGGGGGTATGTACATCCGACCTCTAATCTCTACTCTGGGAAGGCCAGGTAGGTCCATGGAAAAATCATGCAGAGCAAGATTGGCGCTTTTTACCTGTCTTAAATCTAGGCAAAAGGAAGCAAGAAAGCTCATGTGAAGTTAAGCCCAATTCAGTAAGGCACATAGAAATTAAGAATCTGAGCCTTAATAGTCCTAGATAAAGAGGAAAGTTAATATAATGGATTGTTTTAGGACCCTATCCTCTAGAGACTCCTCTACAGCTAATTGGGTGTTTGGAATCTTAACTCTAGACTCATCAGTGATTAAAGACTCATGCACAGCTACATGGTGGTTAATCAAGGAGACAGAAGTTCATGGGATAGGAATTACTATTGTCCTTGACCTAGCAGTGTGTTTTTTTTTTTTTTTTTTTTTTTTTTTTTCAGCAGTGAATATGGGAGCGCTGGTAGCATAGTGGCTAAAGCACTTGACTGCTAACCAGAAGGCTGGCGGTTCAAACCCACCAGCCACTCCTCGGAAGGAAGGTTGGGCAATCCTACTTCTGTAGTGATACTGCCTCAGAAACCCAAGGAGGGGTCGTTATGAGTCAGGGATGACTTGACGGCACATAACAACAACAACAACAGCAGTGAATATAAGGCCTGGCACATGGCAGGCCCTCAATAAATGATTGAATGTTGTGTGGTGAGTGAGTAAATGATCCAGTTATTGAGCAAATGGTTGGGGAGACTAGATAGATATGAATCGAGCAGAAGATACCGCAGAACCAGAGTTTGTGGCTTGTGGATAAAACTGCTACTGGAGTTATAGGGATAGGACACCATGCAGGCTGAAGTCATTGGAAGGACGGGCTTCTTGAGATCAGCCCATGATATGACCATCACAATCTCTCAGCAGGGGTCCACAGTCTGATACCTAGGTCTTGGAGGGACAGGACAAGAGAGTTGGGTAGGTGGAAAATACAAGATATAGGGTCACAGAGCTTTGGCAAGACTGAGCCTAGTGCCTGGCTTCACCCAAAGAAACTGTATCCTTTCTTTAGACCAAGAAATCTGCTACAAAGGGCAGAAGGGAAGTCTGCAATGGTGATTTGCAGCACACATAGCCAGAGCATACAGCTATTTAAGAGAAGGAGATTATTTAAGCAATTGAAAGGTTTTTATGCTTCTGTGTCCTTTATTTATTTTTTAAAATATATATTCTCCTAATATCTTTCTGTTGTAAATAAATGCCCATATTTTTTTTTCTAGCCTTTTTAGGGTTGTACTACTTGCATTTAATTATAATAACAAACATATCTATTCTCTATGTGTCCTAATCCAGTTGTAGTCCTGACCAAATGGCATGTCAAAGATTGCCAGTACAGCTGAACGTCTTTTATGACTGAGATAATATTTATCAAGCGTCTCCTATGTGCTAGGCACCTCGGGTTTCACTTCGTATACAAAAGCTTCTTAGGTCTTCAAAACAAATCTTTGAAAAACTAACATTTTTTTAGAGGATGAAACACAGGCTTAAAAAGGCTAAATAACTTGTCAAAGGTTATGAGGTGGTGACAGTGGGATTTAGACCCAGGGCTATTGGATTCTACAGCCCAAGCTCTTTTTTCTAGATAGTTTATTGGTAAATGATTGTTTTTACTTTATTTTATTGTTATAAAATCAATGTATGTCCAAGATAAAATATTCAAAAGATGTCAGCTTCTGCAGAAAGATACAGTGTAGTTCTTGTGCTAGAGAAGCCTGTGGACTGTGTGGGCAGGGTGCCTGCCTTGAGCCACAGCTGTGCAAATTCACTGGGAATTCTGTCAGCTGATACTTGGGAAGGATACATTCAGGCACTGGCAATAGAGCTTGTAGGGGAGGAGACAAAGGGATGGTTCATGTCAAAGTCTATGAGAGAAAAAATGAGATTTGCAAAGTCTCTTCTGCACAGTTGTTACTTGGAATGGTAATCTTTCCTGCTACACATTAATTTATTGATTATAGAAAAGACAGGAATATTTATTTGAATAATTGATTCCTCTAGGGGCAAACCAAAAGTAGTCTTTAACATGGTAGCATCAGAGGTCTCCTAACTTCAGGGGGAAGGATAAGAATCACCATCAGGCCAAAGTTAATTCCTATGAGGTAGAAGTCAGACCCACTTCCACTCTCCAAGCTTTTTTTTTTTTCCTACCAGTTCTGACACTGGCTATTCTCTCCATGAACTCTCTAATTTGCTGCTGGGTTCGATAATTCACTGCAATGCCCACACAGAACTCACAGACCATACTTAGGATTTTGTGGTTTATTAGGAAAGTCATGGGCTACAACTAGGGATCAGGATCAATTTGGAAGTAACAACTCAGGAGACAGGATAGAATTTGAGAGTCAGGACAGCTTCCAACCAAGACAGCTCTCAGCTCCTCCTCAGCCATGCCCACAGGCAGGCCACACTTCTCAGCTGTACCCACAAGCTGGGTCCCTCTTGAGCCTCTGCCATCAGCCCTCACTGGGCCTTGGCCTCTGCTGTAGAGCCCTGCTCGGGCAAATGTTGCAACTCTTTTGGTTTCATTCTCTAGTGCTCAGAGACACTTCACTGTGCCAGCAAGCCTCCTGACTGAAGATGCTCAGCTCTCTCATTCTCTGGGTCAGCAAACCCATTACATGTATCTGCCAGTCTTGTGCTGCTGCCGTCTTATACCACCTCCAGTGTTACAGCTCTATCTCCTGGGTATAGGGGGTTCTCAGCACAGGGATCCCAGGCCCAAAGAATGTGCCCCACTCCAGGTTTTTCATCTTGATGTCAATGAGGTCCCTCTCAACTTCTCTGGGATTGGCCCTTTTAAGCCTAGCAAAACTTACCAATCACTTGATGTGCCTCAGTATTTGGTGTGTGTAGTAAACTGTTTAATCCTCACAAAGATTTTATGTGCCTTATTTGCATAATAGACTAACTAAACCCTTTGCAAGATTTTGGCCTAGCAAATCATCTTGGCAGTACTACTAATCCAGGGCCAGAAAGGACACATGTAAAGGGAAACCTGTTGCACTGCACAATCCACAAAGGGAATTCTTGTTGCCAGTAATATGCATGGTAGAAGTTGTACTTAGGTCTGGTATTACCAGGAGAAGTGCTGCAGTGAATTTATTGATGTGGCGCTTCTAGCTATTGTCCCCCATTCTGTGATGTATTGTAAATCCTATTATTCATGCCTGTTTGGGGTAGTGTGGTAGTTAAGGTTGGGTGTCAACTTGGCTGGGAAGCTGGTAGTAGTCGTTCCCTATAATGACTGGCAATCAGCTCTGTGGTGGGATATGCCTTGAGCTGCTCATTGTTAAAGCCATTCACTTGGGTTATTTCTGTTGGCATGACACAGGTGGAATGTATCTTGAGTCCTGCCTTGCTGGAGGGTATAATTCAAATCACCACCCTTAGCTTCCTTGAGGGTACACCTATGAATCTCCTGGGAAGGTTCGCCCTCCTCTTGCTCCGGTTCTGTGTTTTGGCTCATCCTCATCTCACCCCTGGATTTGGGACTGCAGCCGTCATCTGATCGGCTGATCGAGGTTCATCAAACCCTGAGAATTTGGAGGATCCTCGAGACCCACTCACGGACCTG